ATTTGACAGATATATTTTATAATTCTCCCAAGTGCAAGTTGTTTTAAGACATAATAGAGCCAAGGTCACTGTCCCAACATATATACAACTGAGCAGCTTGATTCTGCACAGAAGTCTTTACGCTTAATTCTCATATGAACAGCCCTACTGAAGCTAATTAGAATTATTCCATGCTACAAAACTTTGCAGAATGTAACTCAAATACTGTAGTCATGATGGAAAGATCCTTAACTTATTTATATTTAGAGTCAATAAGCAGTGTTTCTTTAGGGTAGTGAATGCAAAATACTGCTGTTAAAATAGATGTCTTGCGCATTCCTATCTAACCCACAGGACTTTTGCCATTTAAGTGTCAGGACATCTGTTTGCAGACCAGGTGACATGTATGGCTATGCTGTGTGTGTCACCCCAGCCAGCTGAAAGGAAACATTGCTCCTGCCTACCAATGGCCATGTGACATACTACTTTAACGCTCTGTTTGCAGCAGTGTTATTCCCTTGACCTCCTTTGTTGTGCCATTTCTTACATGCAGGCCAGGACGCTGTTAATGAACTCTGTTGAGAACAGAGGTTCCCAAGTGCATGGGCCCAAACCTGCAGTCTTTGGAAGTAGAAGTCAGGTCCTTCTCTGGTAAAGGAAAAAGACTTCTTCCAATATAGCTATTCTTAATGGCATTTCTAAATTAATGGTGACAGGTAGGATTTTTGGTGTGCAAAATAAAGTTCTTTCATGGAGTCCAGAGTTTACCATTTCATATAGAGGTGCACCAATACTTTGGTCCCATATTGTATCGGCACTGATATAAGGAAAATTCACATTATTGACAGTCAGCTTTTTTTGGCTGATGTGGCCAGTAATGTTGCTGATAAATGCCTTGTGCATGAAAACTGCCCGCAGCACACAGGTGGCCAGAAGCACAGCCTAGCAGGGTGGAGCACAGTGTCCAGCTGGTAAGTATTGTGGGGGAAAGGAGGGGGGTGGGGAGATCAAGGCCCCAACGTTGGGGGAGGGAGTGGGGCAGGGGCAGGTACTGCCCAGCTGGGGCAGGGCGTGGGACGGAGCCATGGCTTGTCTGGGGTGTCTGGGGGTGGTGTGGCTCCTGCCACTGCACGCACCCTGGGAGGGCATGGGGAGCGTGTGCCTCCAGAGCTGTATGTGGGGCAAGGGTGGTCTGCCACTGTGGGCTGGGCCCAGGGACAGTGCTGGGCTCTTCCCAGTGGGGGCTGGACCAGGGCTGTGCTCAGGGTGGGTGGTGGCAGAGCTTGGAGGGGGGCTACAGGATGGGCTGGAGCCACCCCAAAATTCACCATAGCCCCTGCTCCCAGTGCCGCCACCGCTGCCTACCTTGAGCCCAGCCTGCAGTGACAGCCCTTGCTCCATGCACAGATCTGGGGACACATGCCCCCCATGCACTCCTGGGGGGCGCATAGCAGCAGAAGCAGCCCCCACCCCCCGCTTGCCCTACCCCAGCTGTGCAGCACCTGCCCCTGCCCCACTCCCTCCCTCACCGCAGAGGCCTTGATCTGTCCCCCCCACGCTCCTTCCCTCTCCCTTTGCCCCTTCTCCCACAGCAGACTTACCAGTCAGATGCTGATCTCCAAGCTGCCAGGCCACATATCAGCAATCAGATTGGTATCAGCCTGTATGGTTCATTAAAAATCAGCCACCAATATCAGCCCAAAAAATCTCAATTGGTGCACCCCTAATCTCATATGATAAGCTGCTTTGTGCCTTCCAGACAGACAAGCTAAGATTCTGTCTCAATACTTTAATATCTGTGAAGGGAAGGGTGTCTGCCTTGCTGATATGTGTACATGTATGCTTTTCATGGGCTTAAAAAAGTGATGTGTTTTTGTAGGAGACAGGACTGGAGATTTTGGGTGGAGGGCCGCTTACCAAGTTCTGGCAAGCTGTCGAGGGCCACATAGGTAGCCCCACCCCTTGACAGGTGCCCCACCCCCTGGTCACCGTATTGGGACCGGAAGTCCTGCCCCTAACCTCTAACCTTTACCACCGGATGTCCCTCCCCTTGCCCCTGGAAGTAGCAAAAGAGGGTTTGCCAAAACGAAATTATATACTAAAAATCAAACACCCATAATAATGTATTTTAATTTAATTTAAAAACAATATTTTTGTCCTGACGTGTGTGTGTTTGTGCTGTGTATATATAGAAGTGATTGCATAATAGCTCAAAATACAGTCGTACTCTTGTATGTAGGGTGTGCAGGGATGTTGGGGGTATGGGTGGGTGGGTGTGGGGGGTTTGTGGGGATGTGTGTGTATACGGTATCTGTGGGGTGTGTGACTGCGTGTGTGTTGGGGGGAGGGTGTGGCTGTAGGGTTTGTGGGAAGGGTTTGAGGGTATATGGGGTATGCACAGGGACCCTCCCCTGCACATTCCCTCCTGAGCTGGTCAACACCCACCCCATACCAGCCCAGAGCCCAAGCGCCCTGCAGTGCCTCTTCACCATCACCAACAGTGTGCAGCCCCAGCATGCCCCATGCCTGCTCTGGACCACCTGGCTGCATGCAGCAGTAGCAGTGGGGACCAGCGCATGCAGCCATTACCCTGTGCGCTCCTTGCCAGCTCTGGGGTCGCCTGTTGGGGCTGAGCAGCAGCAGCAGCTGCTGGGCACAAAACTGCTGCTTGGCATGGGGGAAAGTGGCCTTTCCGCCTTGCTCTCGCAAGGCAGCTTTTGCTGCGGCCGCCCAGAGCCCATGATATGCTAGGCTGCGGTGTGGCTCCTACACCACCACCTGTGAGCTGTCCTGCAGCTGCTCCACACTATCAGTGCTGCTGTCCAGAGGTGTCAGTGAAGGAGCCACATCACAGCCCAGCATGGCATGGGCTTTGGGCAGCTGCAGCAGAAACTGCCTGGAGAGGGGGAGGGGCTGCTTTCCCCCACTCCAGGCAGCAGTTTTTGCCCAGCTGCTGCTGCCGCTGCTGCTGCTCAGCCCCGATGGGTGAGCCCGAAGCCGGTGCAGGGCCCGGGCTTAGCAGCAGCAGCACGGGACAAACTGCTGCTCAGTGTGAGGGAAAAGTGGCCCCTCCCACTGCTGGCACTTCCTGGCACAGCCGCTCGCAGTCCATGCAGCGCTGTCCTCTGTTTGCTCTGTGCTGTGACCACTGTCCTGTGGGGCAGCCCAGAGGCGGCAGTGACACAGTGGAGATGCAGGACAGCTCCACATGGGCTCCAAGTGACTGCACCAGAAATGCTGGCAGCAGGATGGGGAGGGGCCGCTTTCTGCCCACACTGAGAAGCAGTTTGTCCCACGCTGCCATTGCTCAGCCCAGATGGGCAGGGGCAGGGATGCACGCACTGGTCCCTGCCTGCACCGCAGAGCTGGGGTAAAGGGGAGTGGGAATGGCAGCGAGCAGGTGTGTGGGAGCGCAGCGACAGCCAGGTGGGAGCGTGGGACCCGCAACAGGGCCCAGGGTCAGCACTAGCAGGAGCATGGGGTACTCCATAGACCCCTTCTACCCTGCTCTGGGCCTCACTGGCCCTGCGCGCCCACACACCTCACTTCCACCTCCACCCCAGCTTTCCCCACTTTCCTGCCTGCCTGCTGGCGGCTTCTGGACCACGTGGCTTCTGGCTGCATGGCCATGACGGCAGGACTCAGCAGGAGCCTGCTTGGCCCTGAGGACTGGGGCAATTGCCCGCAGTCCTCCCCTGCCTCCCCCTTATCTGAATTTCTTGCTTCAGCACAGGGAGATGGGAATAGCCCCATGGTCCCAGGCCAGAAGCCTCTGGGCTTCTGGCTGGGGGGGGAGCAGGGCTGGGTGGGCCTTGCTGTTGCAGGATCCTGCCATGGTTTCCCCTGGGTCCTACTGCTGTTGGTGCCTGTCATCTTTGACAGGTAGCCAGGGGCAGATAAAAATTAATTTTCTAAAATTTTAGGGGTGCCACGGGCTGGATAAAGTGACCTAGTGGGCCAGATGTGACCCGCGGGTCATATTTTGCCCACCCCTGCCCAAGAGATTAGTGGAAGCTTATCTTAGTCGAGGAGCTGATCTCGGTACCATGCATTGGCTAGTCATGTCCCTGAAGGTCAATAGTAAAAGAAATAAGCTTTCTCCAGGAGTTAGGGAGGATTACCATATTTTAGTTCTGCAATGCCATTTTGGTCTCCGAAATCAGACCTGTGTATAAGCAGCACATATAGGAAGCGTAATACATTCAGTTGCTCACTGAGCTCTGTACATCTGCTATAGGAGTAGATGTTACTTCAGTTAAATGTAGCGCCAGCACAAAAAACGGTAGCAGAGTTGTTTTCCATTTTTGTTTTCTTGTTTTTTACTGCTGATTTAAGTAATCTATTACTTGCTGTTTTTGTCCGTTTTTCCTGTAGTTGTACCTATGCATAAGAAAGATACTTGATCAAAATAGGCAGCAACAAATGTTTTAGTGCAAATCTTGTTCCCAATGACTTCAGAAGGAGCAAAGTCTTGAACTTTGAAACTGTTAGTCAAGTACTTGCTTAGTAGTAGTCCAGAAATACTTTCACTGTTACTCTTTACAGCTTGTACTTCTTCCGATTAGCAGTTGTGTGTGTGTGCACGTGATTTTATAAGTGTGTGTGTGTGTGTGTGTGTGTGTGTGTGTGTATATATGTATATGTGTGTGTGTGTGTGTGTGTGTGTGTGTGTATACACACACACACACACACACACACACACACATATATATATATATTTATATATGGGTATGTGTGTGTATATGTATATAAAAAAAAAAAACATATATATATATATACACACACACACACACACACACACACACACACATATATATATATATTTATATATGGGTATGTGTGTGTATATGTATATAAAAAATAAAATCACATATGCATATCAAGTAGAAGGTGAACATTAACTGTGGCAGTTTACTCCATAATGAGACACCTGCTATGTTACCACTGTTTAGCTTTTCTAATATGTAATATTTCTGTATAGATTAATCTGACTTTTTTCTTTTCCTCTTGCTTCCATGTAGCAAAACTGTACAATCTAAAGTGGACTGCATCTTGGTAAGTTGCATTTTTATAATTTTATAAACTTTTTAAGTATTGCAAAGCCACTGTGGATGGTTTTGGGGATTGGCAGGGCCTGTGGAGCCCTCTTCTCACTGTCAGCCATATGGTGATGATCAAAAATAGTTACTGTCCATCCTATGTTTAGTATCCCATGCAAAGAAAATGTGGTTATTCTAGGCCAATTTCAAGTGTACATGTGCCCTCATCACATGAACTAGTATCTGGATTAGTACTGAGTGATGCTGGCCTATACACATCAGACCCGAATAATGTTAGTAAAGCTTTGAGAGAACTCTGCTTGGACAGCTATAATTATATTCTGTGTTTTATGGGTTTGCTTATTGTTTTTAGGCCTGATCCTGATAGGTGCTGGTACACTCAGTCTCTCCCTTCATAGGATTAGGCACTTTAATAGCAAGGACTGTAAAGCAAGGATTAATTTCAGTGTATTTTGTATAGAGTGTTTGGGGCAGGTACCACATTTAAATTATGGATAGCACCTCGCGCAGTGGGGTTCTGGTCTGTGACTTGGGTTTTTACGTACTACCACAATACAAGTTTTTGTTGAGTTTTTTACCTGATTAAAACATGAATGTAAACAAAGAATGCTAGACTCCAAGAGCCCTGTTGGAGGAATGGTCAGCCAAACCAAAAACAATGCCATAGTAAGTCAGTTGATTTTTCTTTACTGCAGGCAGGAAGCTAGTCCACTTACATGGACATCCATCTGTGCACATATGCCTGCCTCTTTACCCCCTGAACAAAAACTAATCCGGTTACTACAATAAGAGATGCCACACCATTGTTTCTGGGCAGGTGTCTGGGAATTTGACGATCTCTGCTGCATGACCTGTAGTTCAACATTTTGACTGCTCAGAGTAGAGGATATACTTTTTCTGAAGTGGAAGTGTCTTCAGAATGTCCTCTGAGCAGCTCCCTCTATTATGGGTAGGTAAGAGATGCTGTACCTGAACGCCTTTGCTGACTGCAGCTGCACTAATACCTCACAGTAGGCAGTTGTCAAACTGTGAAGGACTAAAGAAGTAACTTTATGCTATTCATAAATCAGGATTAATTCAACACTGTGAGATTGGAACATGTTCTATAAGGCAGAAAAAATATAATTCATTTGAGAACTAGCAGTTGAACTGTTATGATTACTTCTGGTTTCCTGTTGAAAAGCTCATGAAATTTCACCCAGAAATATCTGTGTGGAAGATAAACTAGTAAAGCAGATTGTGCTCTCTCATAGTTCATGTAGTAGCTGATTAATCATATGGCTGAGAGGGTCAGATCTAAGAGAAACTTTCAAAGGATAGTTTCAGGGGTATAGGTTATAGCTGTGTTTGTCTAAGGACATAGGCAGACAAGGTTCCTTGGGTAAGTCTAGTATCTTTTATTAGACCAACTCAAATAGTTGGAAAGATTCTTCTTTGAAGGGTATTTGTACCCAAAAACTTGCAAAGAAGAATTTTTCCAACTATTCCAAGGAACCTTGTTTGCCAAAGGATAGTTTGAATTTTTTCAGGAGTTTCCCTAGTTTAGTGTAGTCACATACTTGTTTACATACTTGTTTGCATGTGAGTGGTTTCAGGCTTCTGACCCAATTTTACCTGCATTTAAAAGGATATTTTTTTCCAAATGCCACCCTATGATAGCTGATTCCACACAAAAGTAGGTGAATGTTGTGAGTGAAGGACCCAAAAGAACCTCCCTGGGACTTCAGCAGCAAAGGCAGAAACATGTAACCAGTGAACACAACACAGTATGAGGCAGAACTGAGCAGTAACAGAGGAAGAATTTAGCAGGTTAGCAAATCATTTGCTTGCTGCTCATTGGAATTGATAAGAAAACTGGAAGTTAGTATCACAGCAGTTTTCATGTTCATATTCTTGACCTCATAAACCCTGGATTTTTAGGCAGAGGTCATTAGCATCATCTGGTAAAAAGTTTCAGTTCACTTGTCTAGATTAGGTTTGATTAGCTTGGTCAGTTGGATAAGAACATTTTTTCTCAGTACTGCCTTAGAATGCAGTGCCAAAATACAGTCTTGCACAGCTTAATTTGGAACAAAACAATGGATTCCTTATGCTCTGAGCTTCTGTTTCAAATGCTTTTCTGTCCATCCTGCTAATGGGGTCAAAAGCACTCCATCTGTAATGGAATAGATCTCACTAGGGTGATAAAACTGAGACAGGATACACTGTTAACATAGTGCCGTCAGTTATAAATGTGTAGTATAGTTCTGTCCATAAGGCCAAGATCAAAATGGGTCATAGAAAATGGAAGTGGAGTATATAAAAGGTACATCTCTATGACTTAAAGTTTGTTCACACTATGAAAAAGCTGAAAACTGGTATGGGAAAGTCTGAGCATTTTGGAGCCTAACAAAGTGAGAGTTCACTAATGGAAGAGCAAGCTCGTTAGGAGGTTCTCTTTAGGCTTTTTCCCTTATCTCCCCTAGTGGATAGGGGTGGGCTGTTTTATTTAGTATGAACGGGTTTATAGCAGGGGTGGCCAAACTGTGGCTTGGGAGCCATGTGTGGCTCGCCAGCAGAGTACTTGCGGCTCTCTGGAAATGGCCAAAGCCCTGCCCACTTCTCCCCGCGGCTCCGGGAGACAGTGCAGCCCAGCACGTGCTGCAGGTCTGGCTTTCCCCAAGGGGAATATGCCCTGAGCCAGCCCTCCTCCCTCCTCTCCTTCCAGGGCTGCCAGGGTGGGGACTGCAGTTGTGCCGCTTACCCCACGGCACGGTCTCCCGCGGGGAAAGCCACAGTGGCTCAGTGCTGTGGCAGCAGGAGCTCGATCCTCCGGCCAGTGCCCAGTGGCTGCTGGCAGGAGTGGGGATGGGGGAGGGGAACAAAGGATGTGGGGGTGGTCACCTCCACTCTGGGTCTCTCAGCACCCCTCTTTGGCCCCCCCCTCCTCTCTAGCTCTTGGACTTTGGTGGAGGATTGAATGTGGCTACCAGGGTGAGTAACTCTGGCCACCCCTGGTTTATAGGACTGCCATCAACTAACTTCATTTTGTGATCTGGGCATTTTGGCACTAGCAAATCCCTCCTCCTGTCTCCTTTCTCCCTTCGCTGCTGTCCAAGTATGGGCACATCTGTCCAGTTCACTCGAATGTACAACTTCATGTGCAGTTTTTGCAGCTAATGAATTTTCTTGAGAAAACTCTCTCAGATAACTAGACATATATCTTCGCACCATCTGGGTCCATAGTCCCATGAAGTATATAGCAGCAAAAATGCATATTTTTTGTCTGCTCAGTTTCCTTTAATCATGAAACTGAAGAATGTTCCAGAGCAGTGCCATGTGCTACTCAACATTACCTTAATGCTGACAGCAGTAGGGAACGTAAGAAGAAGCACATTTGGAGGGAAATAATATATTTTAGTAGGTTACTTTGATTCCAATAGTTGAGTAGAACAGATCTTTCTCTTCTATTCACCTAGGAAAGATGCTACTACTGCCTTAATAGACATTCATCTTTGCCAGCTTGGTTTTTGCTTTGAATGTGTCTAGCAAATGCACCAACAGTTTAGGTAATGGGAAGTGTTCTGTAATATTCATTGTTTGTGTTAGAGTAGCACCTAATTCCAGCCAGGATCACAGGTACTAGTGTAGCTGCAGTCACTGTTGTGCTTGGCACTGATACTAGGCTCTTTGCAGCAGGGACTGTCTAATGTAAGACCAGTGCAACAGTTGGGACACAGGAGAAGTGACAAGATAGTAATAAGGTCACTGATATTTAGGCTTCTGGCAGCGGGAGACTGCAGTATGCAGTTACTAAAAAGCAACAGTTAATCAGACTAGAGTCAAGAGTTAGGTCAGTTATGCCTGGTGCACCTTGCAGGGCTGTTTGGATCCTGACATATTAAGTCAGTTTTTGGAAGATCATAAGGAAATGTTTGTGCTGTGCAAGCCAGAAAAGATGATTAGTAGGAATTCTGGTGTAAACATCCATTAAAAATGTATTGTGACATCCTCTTAACTGTAGTAAACACGTCTAAAAGTAGATTCTCACTTGGTATAATATTGCTTGTTATATTTGGTTCTACATATTGAGTCAACTCTTGAACTTGATTGTGTGGTTTACTTAGTTTTTGATCACTTAGTAAGAAGGTTAGTAAGATTTTTCTCCTTAACCTTTAAAAGGAAGTCAGTACTGGAGAGGTATGCCTAAACTGATGGCAGTGGTCACTGAAGTTACTAGTCCACAGGACAGCTATAGCATGTGCAGCAGTAGTGTCATTGCATAGCAGTAGTGCTTCAGTTCTGTTTATATTAGAAGGATGTTATCCTCTAGAGCAGCGGTGTCTACCTTCTTAGCTGCTGGGGGCTTCATGTCCCACGGATTGCACCAGTGGGACCACACACCACAGGGCCTATGCCAACATGGGCCACAGGCTCCCCAGGCACTCCCTGACTCAGCTATACTGGGCATGTGGGCGCCTCTCACTGCACCAGGCATTCAGGCACCCTTTCCCTCCCCTCTCCCTGAGAACCTCTCCCCCTTGCTGTGCTGGGTATGTGGGCGCTTCACACTCCACCGACGTCGCACTGGGCACAGGGGTCCCAGCCCCACCTTTAGCTTCCTGGGCATGGGCTCCTCTGCTGCACTACACCAATGCCCTTTCCATGGGCTTCCTGGACACATGTGGTTGTGCCACATTGCTCTGCCGTGCCTCATGGGGTGAGTCAAGAGTAGATGTCAGAGGGAGGTGGAGTCCAGAGCTGGCGGGGGCAGCTGCTGCTACTGGAGCAGGGATGGGGAAGCCCTTGTGGGCCATCAGTTGGACAGGCCTGCTCAAGAGCGGAAAGGGAGTTTCAGCTCATCAGCCTGTTGTTTGGACCTGTTGAGATGGTGCTTCTCCCCACCCTCAACTTCTGGCAGTGGCAGTTGGTCTGGGTCACACATTTATCAGAGGCCACCAGAGTGGTTCAGATTGAAAAAGTGTTTTGTCAGTACTGGGCTTGATGCAGATTTGGGGTCTGGGTCTGGGAAGAGCAGGGATGAAGGATCCATTTGAAAAGAGGAAGAAAACTTCTACCAAAAAAAGAAATAAAAGTTTCTTTAAGTTTTTATCAGATGACAGAGAAAATGTGTTCTACTGTGGACAAGGCAGTTTGCAGTTTCCAAATTTCCTCATGATAAACCTAGGCCTTTCCATAGTCTGACTCAGTGGTTCTTCTTCACCTTTTTAGACTTGAAGTGCCATTCCACATCTTTTCAGAACTAAGTGCACCCCTTTTAATAAACTAATATAAATATATTGTGAATATTATAATACAAACATTATTAATTAATTAATATGCTATTAAATATTTATCTTATTACAGTTACATTGTATTTACCTCTTCAGGGTGCTGGTGGGGAGTGCTCCCCTAACTCTGCCTGGCTCAGCACATTTGCTCCTAGGGCAGCAGTGGACTCCCCACACATCTCTTCCAGGTCACTGGTGGGAATTGGGAACCACTGGGCCACATTCTTCCCTTAGATCCCCAGGGCAGTCCTCCTTGACCTCCAACCCTAATGGACAGAGTCTGAGGACACCTGGCTAGCAGGGAAGAAGCATGGGGAGCACTGGGGGGTGGGAGTGGCTAAGGGGTGGGTAGAAGGATATACAAGGCCCACGAGAAGGGAGGTGGCAGGCCAAGGTGTGGCTATGCAGTTTTTGCTGCTGCTGCCCATGCTGCGAAGTGAAACTGCACCATGTGCCTGTTTTGAGGAGGCATATTGGAGCTGAACTGAGAAGCAGCTGCTGCATAAAGGCATACCTACCTGCATTACATGAATGCAGGCAGGTGCGCCACTTCTGTAGCTCTTCCCAGTTTGGCACCAACATGCCTTGTGAAACCTGAAACACTTCCCAGAGACGAGCCTATGAACTCCACTTCATCAACCTCCTGGATACTAAAAATCATAGACTAAATACAGACATTGGATTTATGACATATTATAACCTGCCTGGCATCTGACTCCCCAGGTATCTCTCCACTATTCATCCCCCTTCTCTCCCCCACACCCAGCCTGTTTCTCACCCATTGACTCCTCAACCTACATCTTCACTGACTGCCTATCTTGTATGCATACCAGCCCAGCCTCTGGCTGCTTTACTTTTCATTCCATCCAGGAAGAGCACACACCAACTGCTGAATCTTCCTTAGCCTGACAAAGGGGTTTTGAACCCGAAAGCATGCTTAAAAATTGTTTTCCAACTATTTAAGTTGGTCTAATAAAAGATATCAGATTTGCCCAAAGAACCTTGACTGCCTCGTGAAACCTGAGGCATGGGGCAGTTTGTCACCATGGCACATTGGTCTGACTCAACACACAAGTATGTAAAATCTATGAACTACCTCTTTTTCATTAGACCATCACCTAGCTTTTCCCTAATAAAAATGCAGCCTGAAGTTATGGACAAATTAAAGCAACTTAACAGGTAGGAACTTATCCACAAACAGCTGAAGGTAACTGTTAACCTGCCAGCAACTGCCTCCTGGAAGGTGAATGCGAAACAGGAGCAATTTATGCCAGTTTCATTCCTGAAATATTTCGTTCCTTGTCCCCTCTTAACTCACTTTAATTTGATAGTTTGTCCATATTATTAGAAGCTTGCTGGAAAAGTGTAGCATCTTTAATAGCTTGGGACCAAATTCCTTTATTCTGTGACATCACGGACCTCAACAAGTTCTTATAGTTGTTATGATTGGTAATAAGTGTAATTAAATCTGAACTTGCCTTTGGGAGTGATCCTCATGGGCTGGAGAAGAGTGAAAAGCTTAAGAAGGTTTAAAACTCCTTGTTTGCAGGTTTTACCAGCATGAAGTAGGCTAATTTAAACACAGTTCAGTCATTCAGGTATTCTGAGAGATTATTCTAAGTGGGCCAAACACACTGCAGTTTCTAGATTTAAATACTTTTTCACTATCTTAAATGTCTATTGTGTAAAGTTATTGACTAGAAAAGTCTAACAAATGTGAGTAGAGTCTAGCAAATGTAATTACAGTGCATTGGAGCAGACTCGATTAATCCAGTCTGATGGTCTGTGGTAATTATCGTGCTCCAGCAGACTCCAGTATCATGTGTATCAGTGTCCCCACACTGTAAAGTGGTGGTGGGGGCATTTTAAAGCTCATTCAATGAGCTGTAGTTAAAGCATCCCCGTTGCTATTTTTCAGCGTGGGGACACTGATGCACGTGGTGCTCCGGGCATTTTAATTAGTGTGACTTTTGGAGTCACGCTAATTAAAGTGCCCCCATTTCCCACCTTCCCAGAGCATGTCTATAAATGCCCTTACCAAACCTCCTTCATTCTCTGGGCTCCTTTCCTCATACAGCTCAGTATCTTTAAGTTGTTTTCATTTTCTAGTGGCTCAGGCCTCTTAAGAGATTTGCAATATGTTGTTTGTGGAGAGCAGCAGAGGGGAGAAGAGCATCTTTCTCAAGATAATTTTTGTTCAACACTGTGTTGATGTTAATTATGTACCAGTTCCAAAGTTAAATGGATACTGTGGTCATCCACCTCATAGTATCCCCTTTTGTAAGTTATCAGAGGTGTTGACACCTTGGCTCCGTAAGCTTTATCTCAGCTTCACCTGAATTTCGGGACAACATTCTCATTAGTTTCTTGTTTCCTCAGTTTCATTCACTATTAAATGGTGCAACAAGCAGATGGTCTGGGTGCATTTTTAAATGGAAAAGTGCGATTATATTCAAAGTGAAGCAGCAGTCAAGGAAAAGAAAGTTAACCTTATCACAGAATGAAACAGTGTTTCATTCAGAAAAAACACTCTAGTTCCAGTTGCCTCAGTGCTGTTTGCTGATATACCGGTCTAGTTTATTTAGCAGTAGGCTGCTTAAATTAAAGCAGGTGATTGAAGAGTAGCTACATCTTAACCCAATATAAATTCACCTTTGCACATATTTTTTTTCTTCTGAAGGAATCAATTTGCACCTTGCTGTGAGACCTCAGTATTTCCTTAGGAGCAATATGTGTTGACATGTCATCCAGGTTGTCAGGATTGACTTTCCTAGTATTTCAGAGTTGAGTCAGCTGGACCAGTAGCACTGTGATTACCAAAATGTTGGTGTCTTCAGAATAGCATCATATCACACCCTGCTGCTCATGCTGAGGATGACCAGTATCCAGTAAGATTATACCTTGCCTTACTTATTTAAAGGTTTTGAGCTATCTTGAAGTCAGTGGAGCCATAACAATTTATACCAGATGAAGGAGTCACCATCTATATCTATTTAATCACCCTGTGACAACCATGTACTGGGTAGATGGAAATTTAATTTTCAGAAAAGCTTTTGTTAGTCTGCTGGATTTTACTTTTGATATCATTGTACAGCTCAGTCCAAGAATCACACTTTGTTATTGAAGAGCTGTTATATGTCGTTCTCAAAGATGTTGAAATCATAACGAAAGATTTAAAATGAGACTTCTGGTTACAAAAGGTATTTTTCTTTCTTTTCTGATTAAAGTTAGAGATGTTTTCGATTCATACTTATTTGTAAGTAATACAAATAATGTCAATACAACAACATCATTGTGCTAGGTGCTACATGAATACAAAACTGAAAATTGCCTTTTGTCCCAAATAGCTTATAGCCTGGTACTTTTATATTGCCAAATGTTATGCTATTTTATTTGAGATTATTTTGAAAACTGTGGGATTTTTTCATCTATCATTCTTGTCACTTACCGTATCCTTTTTTTAAAAAAAACCCAACAACAACAACAAATCCTCATTATCTAGCAAGAAGTTGAGAAGTTTACAGACCTAGAGAAACTCTACCTCTATCTTCAACTGCCTTCGGGTCCCAGCAATGGAGAGAAAAGGTGTGTGCGCGCATGCGTGTGTTTTATATTAATACTAAAATAGTTCCAGTGAGATTCTCTAAAATACATCTTCATGCACTGTTTCTGGCAGCAGTAGGATCTTTTTAAAGACTAGTATCTTTCAAAAATATTTTCAGAGAAATAAGTCTTTAGAAAATCTGATGCATAAAAAGTAAACTGTAAATATGAGGTTCATGTAGTAAGAGATTTATGAGGGAGTTCTTTTTAATTAAATGCTTGGTTATGGAACAGGTGTGCTGTTTCCTCAATTTTTATGTAGTAGATTGTAATATAGCACTTAAAATATTAAAGAAGAGGGTAGAGTAATTATGGCTTCATCATAAGTTTGGCAATAAGCATTCATTTAGATCCTTTTTATCCCTGAAATCACTCAACATCTCATAGTAATCTTTCCTCCCCCATACAGATATTCATAGCAAGTGGGGGAGGGTGGATATTAGAATGGGTAAACACTTTGTGAATGCTTGTTTTCCTGAATATTTCTATTATAAAGAGACTCCATTTTTCCAGTTAAGTGTGTTTTATTAGGCTGTATCTTCTGGTGAATTTAAGAATGAATCTCAAGAATCAATCCACTTCAAATTTGATAGGCAGTAAAATCTGATGAGCTAGAATATTCTACAAACTTTGAGACCAATTGTAAAAGGCATTTGGGAACTCAGGGATGACTATAACCTTTTAAACGTGATGGGCTGTGTGAAATTCCACAGTTTGTGGACATGCAGAGAACGTGTGTGTCAGTCCTGCCACATGCAGTAGGTGAAGCAGCAGGTCTATGGACTGATTAGAGGTCTGAACAGTGCTGCAGTTGATGGTTGCATGCTGCTTGACTTGTATGTTACTCTTTGCAGTCAGTCACCAATTGCTGCACTGGCATTACAGAAATCTCTCAGGAATGCAGAGCCTTCTCTAAGGGGTATAAGTTGTAGCTGTGTAGGTCTAAGGACATAGGCAGGCAAGGTTCTTTGAGTAAATCATTAGCCTTCTCTAATGGTGTTTACCTATAATGTCATCTCCGGACCCAGATTTATATAGTGTAAGAGACATGGACGTTCCAAGTGGGCATATAAAGGAGCTGTGAATTGGGAGGAGCAATTCTAGATAAAGTTTCTCATGCCCTGCTGGCATGCCAGGGAGACTTTGTGCACAGAGCAATGGGGGCTTGCAGTGGCAGCATATAAGCTATGGTACATGAACACATCTGAAGTGGCCCTCTCTTTCTGCCATCTACCATTCTGTTGAAATGTCCCTGCTTGTAGAACTCAGTGAAGCAGGGAATTATGCTGAAGGTGCATAATTCAATATGCATTTGATCACTTCTTTCAAAGCTACCCAAACAGATTCTGGTTTTGTTGATGCCTGGTGTTATTCAGGCAGAAACAGCTTTTAGAAGAATATCGTGGGGAAAATATTACGAATTACATTTATGAGAAACCTTTCCAAGAACTCCTTCTTCCCCATGATATATTTCCATGCAAGTCTCTAGCTCATATGAACATTTAAGTCTGCTAACCAAATAGTACAGAATTCTCTCTTAACGCAATTGTTTCTCTTTTCAGTAGTGATCAGATCTCAATGTCATCAAGCCGTGCACAGCAAATGCATGCTTTTTCTTGGATTCGGAATACCTTGGAGGAGCACCCAGAGACATCTCTTCCCAAACAGGAGGTTTATGATGAGTACAAGTGAGTGCTGCTAAACTGAGTCCATATATCTGATTGAATACTCTGTACAAACATTTATCTAGCTGCTATATATTTCCTTTATAAGCAAACTTTAATTAAACTAAAAAAATAGGCCCTACATATTATTCCATTGACATGTAGAACATATGCCTTAGTGCCTAATATAGTGAGCACTATGCCAGGAGATGCATGCATGTAGAATCAGACCCAGTGAGTGAATGAATTTTTGAAGATGCAGGCTGCTACTGTATTCAGTATTTATACCATTGAAAGTAAGAATATAGTTTTAAACTGCACTTCAGATTACTCTAAATAAAGTTTTGTCAAAGGTAAATATTGTTTATATTGTGGTAGAAAGAGCAGGTGGATGTGAATATGGGTAAAGAACAGTCATAATAACTTGCAGTACAGTTCTACGGCCTCTTTCATGTAAAGAAGCTCTAAATAGCAGTGATTCCTCATGTGTAAGGTGATGGCAGATGGTCAGTGCCCAGCACACTGTGTAGTAGGACATATGGGGAAATTTATTCCAGTGTTCCTGATTTAAAACCTAAATTGTAACATGCTAATAGTTTTTAACATCCACACAAGACATTGAGTAGGATCAGTTTTTAAGGCCTTGTCCAAAAGGCTACATTGAAGTAGCCTTTTGGACAAGATCTTAAAAGCATCATGAAGTATTAAGTCCGGCTTGAGCAATTATTTTGGCTGGCAGGACACTTGAGTTTTGGTGAGCTGTCAAGGGCTGCATACACAATCTTTCAGAAGATATCATTTTAACAAATTTTAGATAAAAGACAAACCATATACTAAAAATCAAATATCTACTATAACATTTTAATTTTATTTCAAAAAATAATTTTGTCCTAGTTTGTTTTTTTGAGTAATGTTTTTTATAGAGACAATTGCATAATAGCTCAAAATAAAGTTTTACTCTTGTATACTGTGAGGTGGGGGAGGGTAGGTGTGTGGAAGGAGTGGGGGTATGCATGTGTGTGGGCTGCCTGTGTGCTAGGTCCCAGGAGCTGGCTTGTGGTCTGCAGGTCCCCTCCCTGGAATCCAGCCCACAGCTGCCCCAGTGGTGCTCTGCATGGGACTGAGCCACGCTGCACTCCTGCCCACACCTGCTGACAGCACTGCCCCGGCCCTGGCAACACGCACAGCTTCCCAGCAGCTGCCCAGGTACTGCTTGGCTCCCCACACCTCCAGTGGTTCCTTCTCCTCCTCCTCCTTGTCCTCCTCCTTCCACTGCTGCACTGCTGTGGACAACAGGTAGCGTGGGGAAGTGGCAGCGGCTGTGAGGATTCATGCTGAGCATCACACACTCAGCCGGGTGGGGGGGAAGCTGCAGCCGGGCAGCTTCTGCTCCAGTGTGTGGGACTTCAGTTCCAGCTCCCGGCTGCCTTCCACCCACTTGGCTGCCCTCAGGTGGCTGCTCGTTGTGCCGGGTTGGCAGAGTGAGTGGAAGGTGGCTGGGAGGTAGAGCTGGAGCCCCATGCTGGGGCAGAAGCTATCCAGCTGCAGCTTCCTCCCTGCATTGCTGGTCATGTATTGTCTGGCACGCATCCCCATGGCCACCGTTGTTTCCCCACGCTACCTGCTGTCCAGAGTGACGCAGTAGGGGCAGGAGAGGAGTCACCGCTAGAGGCGGGGATAGCTGAGCAGTACCTGAGCAGCTGCAGCAGCATTGGGAGCAGGACACCTGGCCAGGCTGGTGTTTATATCTCTTGTGTGAATGCATCCAGTTCTTTTATTCTCCATGCTTGCTGACACAACTTTGTGTGGTCCTGCATACCCCATGGTCAGCAGTGCCTTCCATGTTCAGTTCAACTTCACGGGTATATTTTTCCCTCAGAGGAATCATGGATCATCAGTCCTTATGCAGATCATTTCACCCATGGAGCAATTATCTGCCTTCAATCAGTCCTTACATAAATCCCTCCGTGGGGCAGGCCCACTCTCAATTAATTAACCTCCCGATCACAAATCTTTGCAGAGTTTTCTCCAACCACTTACTTTTGGCTTATGTCAGCCCAACACACTGGTTCCTCCTTACTCAGCTGACTCTCTTTTCTTTCTTCCCTTCTCTGATCCCTTAGCAGATGATCAATCCTTCACTTCAGGCAATCATCCTCTCTAGCAGGGTTCCTTATCTGACCCCTGCTTTCCCTATCCCAGTCTCGACTTCTAATCTAGCCACCCAGAGCTGGCCCGCCACCAGGACTCACTGTGCTGGCTCTCTTACTGGCTTGCTCTGGTCTTTGGTCCCATTCTGGGCTCCCAACTCTGCTCTGGCTCTGCTCTGTGCCTCCACACAGACCATGCTGCAGCCTGTGCCTGCCTGCACACTTTATCCTCCTCGGGGAAGTGAACCACCTGACTTTTTTTCTGCCTTCTGGGTCCATGGGTCAAATAGAGCCAGCTCCTGGCGCGCTCTGTAATGCACACTGGGGAGTCATCTCCCTTCCCTGGCAGAATCCCTGCAGTCATTCTCAGCGAGTATGGCTGGCCAGCTCCACGTCCATGTAAATTTGTTTCCCTGGTGCTCGTGTCCTTGCTCTGGAACAGGGGCAGGGGATGTTTCCCCATTACAAGATACTTCAGAACTAACATTTCTCCCACTAAACTATCTTCTCTGGAGTAATACACAAATGTTGTACCTGATTCAGGGAGTAAATGCTGCAGTTCTGCTTCTGACAGGGTCACAGGTTATTATAAAGTGTGTGAAACCAACACCAACCCAATACAAATTTGTGTTCTCAGATCTTAAAGCTACCATGTAACTAGAAATTACATTGAGGGCTGTGGGAAAGGGAGGAGGCAGGAAAGAGTTGACTGCAAATTCATTCAGAACTAAAATCCAAATGTTCCTCAGAGGAAAATGCTTGACCCATTTGTCTGAAGTTGAACTAGGAAACAAATGATGAAAGCACATTTGATAGCTTCAGAATCTTAACCGTGAATCTGAGGTCTCGGCTACCGCCATCGAGTCCATCCCTCAACACCCAGTAATAGAACCTCTTGCTGATCTCCCATTCGTCAAGGAAGTCTGGCATGCCATCACTCAGACCAAGAACAATAAGGTGCCAGGCCCAGATGGCATCCCCGCAAAAGTCTTCAAAGCTTGTGGAACAGCACTAATGCAAAAGCTTCACCAACTTCTCATCATATGGTTAACAAGTTCCACCTGACTTAGAGAATGCCAATATTGTGACCATCTTCAAGAAAGGGGACGAGTCAGTGTGTGGGAACTGCTGAGGCATTGCCCTCCTCTCTGTTGCTGGGAAGATTCTTACTCACATTGTTCTGAATCGCCGCTTCCTCCCCCTTGCCGAAGATGTCCTTCCAGAATCCCAGTGTGGCTTTAGACCATCTCAAAGTGCTGCCAACATGATTTTTATTGCTTGACAGATCCAGGAGAAATGTAGAGAGCAACACCAGAAGCTGTTTTTGACATTCGTTGACCTAACCAAGGCCTTCAACTCCCTCAAACGTGAAGCCTTATGGAAGGTGCCAGCTAGGTTTGGTTGTCCGCTGAAGCTCATCAGTGTTTTCAGCCTACTCCATGATGGGATGGCTGCCACAATCCTTTGCAGTGGATCAGAGACAGACCCATTTACCATGTACTGGTGTCAGAGGACTGCGTCATCGCCCCAACCCTTTTTTCCATCTGTCTTGCTGTGATTTTTCTCATGTGTGATCACCACCTTCCCAGAATTTGGGTTAAGTATCAAATGAATGGTCAGCTTTTCAACCTGACGTGCCTTTGCAGCAAAAGAAAGTTACAGGCTAGCATCATCGACCTTCAGTATGCTAATGACTGTTATCCTCATGCACACTGAGACCAATCTGCAGTCTACCCTTGACATTTTCTCAGGTGCCTATCACAGTCTGGGAATCTCCCTTAACATTGGGAGGACCAAGGTACTCCATCAGCCTACCCCAAGACAAGTTACCCCTCCTTCCCCCACAAATTACAATTGGTGGAGAACCCCTGGAAAACATTGAGCATTTCCCATACCTTGGCAATCACCTCTTCCAGTCAGTCAGTCGATGTAAAAATTGAACATAGAATTTGCTGTGCCAGTGTATCCTTTGGAAATCTGCTTCGCTGTGTCTTTGCTGACCCAGATCTGCAAGTGGATACTAAGATCCTAGTCTACAATGCAGTGGTTGTCCCCACACTCCTCTATGGGTGTGAGATGTGGGTGATATATCAAAGCCATATTAAGCACCTGAAATGGTTCCCTTAGCATTGCCTCAGGAAGATCTTTTGTATTAGATAGGAAAACCACTGCACCAGTGCCAGCATCCTCTGCAGCTAACTTAACCAGCTTTGAGATAAAGATCGTGAAACGTCAACTGCTCTAAGCTGGCCGCTGTGCAGATGGCTGACACTCATCTCCTGAAGCAAGTCCTCTTCTCTCAACTTAGTCATGGTAAGAGGACCTGTGGAGGACAGAGTAAGTGCTACACGGACACCCTGAAAGCATAGCTTAAGAAGGGTGGCATCAACCCTACAAATTAGGAAGTGCTGGCTGGTAACAGGTTTCAATGGCGCTGCATCATACATCAAGCTGCCTCCCACTTCGAAGAGAACCGTCTTGCACAGGAAGCCGAGAAACGGCAGAGGAGGAAGGAAAGCGCACAACATCCTGGCCAATAGTTGTGCCCCCTTCCCTCCCCCCCCAAGGCACCACTTGTCATATCAGTGGAAAAACTTGCAGAGCATGGGTTGGACTCCTCAGCCACCTTAAAATTCACCATTATTCCCCACCCCTTCCCTCCTCCCCAGCAGACATCATCCTCGTATTGAGGGATAATCAATATATAGCTTCAGATAAAAAAATAATTATAACAGTGCTGAGTACCTCCAGCTTATAAGGCTGAATCCTGTACGGTTCTGTAAGACAGCAGTGATTGCAACCATTGTTTTCTTCCACTGTGTTCATACCCCATCTTAATTAACTATAGTCTTTTATTCTGGCTATGCTGAAATG